TTTCATCCCTAAGATATACACCTGGCATGTACACTGTGCATGATTAGGGTACAGTGAAAGCACAATATGTATCGCAGTTTTCTGCGACGCATTTCTGAAGTTGCTTAGCACCTCAGAAGAATTGCGTAGCAAACTGCGATGCGATGCCGGTTAAATTATTCTCTGACATGTGTGTGTGTACGTATGTGTGTGTGCATGTAACAGAGGATGACGAGCCACTAGCATCCGGGTCTGGGATCGTCGACAGGCATTGGGCGGCAGCAGAGCTGGAGAACTGGTCGGACCTCCTGTCCCGCTGGGACGGTACCGGACGGCCTAAGCAGCTGACGACGTTAATTCGAAAGGTGTGTATGTGTTGTGTGTGTGTGTGTGTGTGTGTGTGTGTGTGTGTGTGTGTGTGTGTGTGTGTGTGCATGCCTTCATGCTTGCATGCACGCGTGTGTCTGTATGTGTAACTTATGTATGCAATCACATGGCTTTAGCCTTTCCTTGCCTTATTGGTGGTGATGGCGGTGTTACTGCTGCTGCTGCCGCATTCGCATTGTCTGCCCAAATGCTAGTGTGTCTAAATATGTTGTCTCTATCTTCTATTTCTCTCTCTCTCTCCATCTCTCTCTCTCTCTCTCTCTCTCTCTCTCTCTCTCTCTCTCTCTCTCTCTCTCTCTCTCTCTCTCTCTCTCTCTCTCTCTCTCTCTCTCTCTCTTTCTTTCTCTCTCTCTTCTCCCTCCTCTCTCTCTCTCTCCCCTTCCCCTCCTCTCTCTCTCTCTCTCTCTCTCTCTCTCTCTCTCTCTCTCTCTCTCTCTCTCTCTCTCTCTCTCTCTCTCTCTCTCTCTCTCTCTCCCCTCTCTCTCCCCTCTCTCCCCTCTCTCTCCCCCCCCCCCCCCTCCCCCCTCTCTCTGTGCATCCACACACGCAGGGTGGTGTACCTGAGCCTCTTCGCGGTCGTGTCTGGGAGATGCTGGCTGGTTTGACTGCTGATTCAGATTTACTGGACAACTTCCGTGTGTTGGTCACTAAGGTATGATCTTTAAGAAGTCGTGTGTTCCTTTACTGTGAGTTCGTGTGTTCCTTCACTGTGACATCGTGTGTTCCTTCACTGTGAGTTCGTGTGTTCCTTCACTGTGAGTTCGTGTGTTCCTTCACTGTGAGTTCGTGTGTTCCTTCACTGTGAGTTCGTGTGTTCCTTCACTGTGAGTTCGTGTGTTCCTTCACTGTGAGTTCGTGTGTTCCTTCACTGTGAGTTCGTGTGTTCCTTCACTGTGAGTTCGTGTGTTCCTTCACTGTGAGTTCGTGTGTTCCTTCACTGTGAGATCATGCTTTAGTACAGTATACCATGGGGATGTGCAGCAGCTGCAGCTCATGTTCTACCTGTACAGTCAGACCTCGCTTATCCAGTCCTACAGTGGAACCTGTCCAAGACGACCGCTCGTGGGACTTTCAAAACGTGGCCTCTGTTACCAGGTGGTCTCCTTATCCAGGGTCGTTTGACTGGAAATAGCATCCATTCGTCCTGGTTTCAGTGGTCTTCCAGGACAGGTGGTCGCCTTATCCGAGTGGTCGCCTTGACTGGTTTTACTGTATTTTAGCCGGATCCCTCGTCATCCGGAAGAAGATCGTTGGTTACCGATTTACAGCATATGTCATGCATTCATACAGTATGTGTGTTCGATTATCCGGTTCCCTCGCCTATCCGAATGCTTTTGTGGAAAACGGATGTGTGCGGTTAAACGAGGTCCGACTGTATTCTGCGAATATTACCACACCATAGTTTAGTAAGTACTCGGGTGGTGGGCCGAGGAAAATATTGAATGGAAACAAGGACAACGTGGAATGTCTCAGTGCTCCTTGTCAGTCTGGTGCTACCTTGAGCACGTCTGACTGTTCAAAATCTGGTTTAGTTGGTGGACTCTAACGCATTACTTTGTGCCCCATCGTTTCCTTGTTTCCATTCCATAGTTTGGTGATGGAGTATCACTGGCTATAAGCGATGATCCCTATTTCAAATCCTCGTGTTGCCAGTCTCTTGTTTTCTTCTAACCTTTTCCGTTTCAACTCCCTTGAGCTAATGGGATAGTACTCCAATTGTTGCCGACAAATTCCGCTGTGTATGTTACTGTGTAGCGTATGACTATGAGGTCATTTCTGGCCTGCGTGGTGTGTTTTAAGTCAAATCTGAATTTCTGTAACAAGCTACTATTTTCTGAGTGGCATATTGATGACTATGCTACGCTGCATGTGCGTGCATGTTTGCGTGTGTGTGTGTGTGCACGCATGTGTGTGTGTGTGTGTGTGTGTGTGTGTGTGTGTGTGTGTGTGTGTGTGAGGTGTGTGTGTGTGTGTATGTGTGTTTACGTGTGTGTATACGACGTGTGTGTCTGTGTGTGTCCGTGTGTGCTTACATGCTTCCGTGGGTGTGGGTGGGTGTTTGCGTGTCTGTGTGAAATGCATTGTCACGTGTGCAGGAGTCTCCACAGGAACGCATCATACTGGAGGACATCAATCGTACCTACCCGGCACACGAATACTTCCGCGAGGACGGAGAAGGTCAGCGTGCACTCTACAAAATCAGCAAGGTTAGTTAAAACCGCGTGCCGTTGTTAGTCGAGTCTTGAGTGTAGAGTCTGGGAAGTCTGGAAAGTCTTGAAACGGTCTTGAGGAAGTCCTGAAAAGGTTTGGAAATAGTGTTAGAAAAGTTCTTGGAAAAGTCTTGAAAAGGTCTTGAAAGGGTCTAGGAAAGGTCTAGAAAATATCTTGAAAAGGTCTTGAGAAAAGGTCTAGAAAAAGTCTTGAAAAAGTCTTGGAAATGTCTTGGAAACATCTTGCAAAAGTCTAGAGAAGATCTAGAAATGGTCTTGAAAAGGCCTTGAAAAAGTCTTGAAACGATCTTGAAAATGTCTTGGAAAGATCTTGAAAAAGTCTAGGAAAAAGTCTTGAAACAGTCTTGGAATGGTCTTGGAAAGGTCTTGAAAAGGTCTTGAAACGGCTGGAAAAAGTATTGAAAGGGTCTTGAAACGGTCTTGGAATGGTCTTGGAAAGGTCTTGAAAAGCCCTTGAAAAGCCCTTGAAAAGGTCTTGAAAAGGTTTTGAAAAAGTATTGAAACGGTATTGAAAGGGCTTGAAAAGGTCTTGAAAAAGTCTTGGAAAGGTCTTGGAAAAATCTTGGAAAAGTCTTGAAACGGTCTTGAAAAGGTCTTGAAACGTTCTTGAAAAAGTATTGAAACGGTCTTGAAAGGGCTTGAAACGGTCTTGAAAAGGTCTTGAAAAGGTCTTGAAAAGGTCTTGAAAAAGTCTTGGAATGGTCTTGGAATGGTCTTGAAATGGTCTTGAAAAGGTCTTGAAAAGGTCTTGAAAAAGACTTGACAAGGTCTTGAAAGGGCTTGAAAAGGGCTTGGAAAAGGTCTTGAAATTATCTTGAAAAAGTATTGAAACGGTCTTGAAAGGTCTTGAAAAAGTATTGAAACGGTCTTGGAAAAAGTCTAGAAACGGTCTTGAAAAGATCTTGAAACGGTCTTGAAAAAGTATTGAAAAGGTCTTGAAACAGTCTGGAAAAAGGTTTTGAAACGGTCTTGAAACGGTCTTGAAAAGAACTTGAAACGGTCTTGAAACGGTCTCGGAAAAGTCTTGGAAAATGTGTCGGACTGCACAACGCCCGGCGTGTACTTGAGTGACGCGACTGGATGTCATTGACCAGCACTGCAGATAGCCGAAGCACACAGCAGGAGCAATACTTGACACTGACAACTGCTAACATCTTAACCCTATAGAGGTTATGCGAATGACGTCACGAGGAGCGCCAAGGCGGCTGCGAGTGGCAGGGGTGGCAAAATGAAGTCGTTTCTGCTTGAACTATTTTTTACTAGTCTTTGAGAGGAAAAGTAAAATTTGTTGTTGGTTGTCGACATATCGTTCCTCACTTTTATTTTGATTTCCGCTGGTGTCTCGCTTGCTGAAGTTTTTAGCCTTCAACATGCCGAAGAGTTGTGCAGCCGTCGGATGTAGCAATCGTGCCGATCCTGGAACGGCTGTGAAGTTTTACAAGTTTCCTGTAGCGGACGAGCGGCGCAAACTATGGGTTGCGGCTATGAGACGAGAGAATTGGAAGCCAACTGACAGTAGCAGGATCTGTTCAGACCATTTCGTAGGCGCAGAGAAGAGCAACGATCCACTATCTCCCGCTTACGTTCCGAAACTTTTTGAACATGTCAGGACTCCTGTAAAGCGTAAAGCGGAGAGGGATTTGGTGGCATATGAACGCCGAGCGAAGCGGAAGCTGACGTTCGAGGAGAGCAAGACGCAGACACCAGTGAAAGTGGACGCCTCCGGGAATGACTTCACAGAGGCAATGGCAGATTTGCCTGGTGCCTATGGTGCAGAGGTAGAGTCTGATCCTGTAGCAGTCTCCAGTGTCTCATCGCAGACTGACATGGATATGGAGCACTTGACGCGGCTGGAGGAGACAAACAACTGTTTGGTCCTGGAAAGCAAACGGATGCCACACGCTCCAGGACAAGGTGACACCTTGTCAATCGAGTCGTTTGAGAAAGACAACGCGAAGGTGCTCTTCTACACTGGTTTGCAGTCTTTTGGGACCATGATGGGCATATTTGAACACGTGAGGAAGAGAGTTCCACAGCACCACCGCCACACGCTCTCTCTCTTCCAGCAGTTCTTGATTGTTCTCATGAAGCTTCGGCTGAATTGTCGGGACCAAGACTTGGCGTACAGATTCGGCATTCACCAGTCGACCGTGTGCCGGATTTTCCAGCGCTGGATCCGGGTGATGCATGTGATGCTGGGACCACTTGTCAAATGGCCGGAAAGAGACGAACTACGCAAAACTCTGCCACTTGAATTTCGTAAGCATTTCCCGGGCTGTGCTGTCATTATTGACTGCTTTGAAGTTTTTTGTGAACGACCTTCTGATCTGATGGCAAGAGCTCAAACGTACTCTCACTATAAAAGCCATAACACTGCAAAGTTTTTGATTGGCGTAGCGCCACAAGGTGTCATTACATTTATTTCGCATGCATGGGGCGGGAGAGCCTCAGACAAGTTCATCACAGAGCACTGCGGTCTGCTTAGTCACCTAAATCCGGGTGACCAGGTGCTGGCTGACCGTGGTTTCACTGTTGAAGACAGCGTTGGCATGTTCTGCGCAGAGTTGGTGATGCCCCCATTTACGAAGGGGAAGAAGCAACTCTCCAGGCTGAAATTGGACAGTGCTCGACAAGTGTCACGCGTCCGTATCCATGTGGAGCGAGTGATTGGAATGCTTCGCCAGAAATACACGATCCTCTCTGGCACTTTGCCCATTGCTTTCCTCATGCATGACGATAAAGCTACATCATGTGCATTCATTGACAAGGTTGTCACCGTCTGCTGTGCTCTGTGCAACTGTTGTGAGTCCGTCGTACCTTTCGAGTAAATTACATCATGCCGCTTTGTCAGCTGTAATGATTGCTATATTATTAACCCCTTGTGCTTTTTGGACTGTCTGGATATACCGGCAATTATATTTCTGTTTTACCTATTCTGCAGTTGCATGCGCATGTGTTCACCTCATTGACCTCGCTTGTTTCTAGTTTCTTTTGTCTGGCTAGCCAAGCTTGCTTGGTCATGGCAACACCAACAGACTTACAATAATAGTAATAATAATGGCTTCTATCATCACTCACGACATGCCTGCGTTTCTTGTTGCATCAATATAATGACTCGTGGTCCAAATAGGGACAACACAATATAATATGAATAGCCCTGAAACCCAACTTAGGGTGCTGGGTAGTGTGCGATGTACCATCAGATGTAGTATGCCCAGCACCAAAGAACAACTCAACTTATGCCAACATCACCCGGAAGAGACGTAAAGAGCGAAGTGTTTGATGTGTAATGATGGAGTTCCTCTGCTCACATGCATAAGCAGTGAGTGGTCTTCACGCATGTCCTGGGACCCACAAATACGAATCAGCATTATGGTCCTTCAGAGATACATGCAAGCAAAGAAATACAAGAAAGGTAACGGAAATCGTTGTGAAAGCCCAGCCACCGATTGTATGCACACACGTGGCAAGTGCAACAGCAAGTACCGTGGAAGGCACAGCAGAACAAGTTGAAAATGCAACTCTAGAAATACCAGAATAGCAGGCTCCATGAATATAATCACTTCTCAAATGCTTGAGACTTGGATTTACAAATGCTACGACAAAAATGACTATGTACATGGAAAGTTGGTTGCACCCCATACTAGAGGTCGAGCTTTCCTGCCGCCTTGACTGGACATTTGACTGACTCACGACTGCCATTTAGAAACTTGACAAACTCACGACTTCCATCCAGACACTTGACTGACTCACAACTGCCATCTAGAGCAGAGAAGAAGTCCCTCGAGCCCTCCTTCCGGCAAACCTGCAAGAAAGCACCACTCCCTGCTCAATACACAGTGTTTCGGGGAATTCACCCCTCATGCAGTTGAGCTTGAGTAGGCTGACGAACATTGTGCTTAGCGACCAACATTCCTATAAACTTGTCGCCGAAGTCGCTACCACTGTAATTGTACATGCATATCATTATTTAGTGGCAGATTTAATCTTGCGACACTCCGGGCAGGTCCAGTTCTTGCGCTTTGGCTTACTCTTCAGCTGCAAACAAGCCATGTGGAACAAACGAATACTGCAATCGTTGTTGGAACATCGCAGTACCTCGCCAGCCTTCACAGACTTGCAGTAGCAAAACTCCGGAGGGCGTTCTTGATCCGCAGTAGATGTTGTACTGGCAGCACCAAGTGGTTCCGAGGCTGATGTAGCCGCTGAAGACGCATCGGCAGGAAGAGTGGAGAACGTCTTAGTGAACCATTTCCCAACAAGCTCTGGGAGAACAGCACACTGGAAGAATTTCTTGGCACCTGCTACCGCTTCACGGATGAAATCTGTGTCTGCACAGATACGCTCCACAAACAGCTGACCTTCATTCCACACAACAAAGTCACAGTACTGCACCTTACACACCAGCATCTGTAGCTGTACTTGGTAGTAGTACATGTGGTCTTGCTTAAGATGGAGTGCTCCGCCGGACTTTACTAGACAGAACTTCCCTGAATCGGCAGCATCATGCAGGCTACTGTCTCGGCACCCGTACGGGCACTTCACTTCCACCACGCCGTTGCCACAGCAGGAGCACTGCACAAGGGAGTCGGGAGTAGCGCCAAGATATGGATAGTCCGGATGAATTACAAAGCCACTGGGCAGTACTTCAACCTTCTGATGTGTTGCACTGGCATGTTCACTATAGTTGTCAATTGCCTTCTGCTCGTGATCACATCCCCATTGTGTGGCTTTGCTACGAAACTTGTGTGCCTCAGGGTAACACACAGAGCGGACTAAGGACGCAGAGGGCTGGCTAATATCCGTGCGAACAGCAGACTTCAACTTTGAAGCTGTGATCCGGCCGGCGCGAAATTCAAACCAGGCCTTGGAATCTGCCTGGTTCCGCGTAGCCTGTTCCACAGCGCGTGCTTCCTCCTCTGAAACACAGACCGCTGGAAATACTGCCTCGCAACGAACGAGCAGGTCCCCAAAACTAGCATCCAGCATGTCTGGCATACTCCACCTCCTTCATTGAAGGAGTTGACCATTGGCACGGCAATGAAGTGCTTCCTGTGTTCTGAATCAGCTGCGTTCTAGAATACAGGCTGAACAACAGTGCAGCAACGTGAGAACAAGACTCACCAAGACCAGCCATGCAGGTGCAGTGTGCACAAATCACGCTACCGTCGTTTTGCGCAGCAATCCAGGGTTGCAGATGGGTGCCGGAAACTGACTGGGAATGGCGGACTTTGGCGATGACAAACTTGCTGTCACATGTGTCAGATTCAGACGCTGGAAACGCACGAACATCGCCGACCCAGCCACTGACAAGGTATTTGTAGCCTTCCAAGCTCTTGTAGGCCTTGAGCTGCTCCTTGGTGTAGGGGCTGGGCGCGTTGACCAAGAAATTGTAAATATCGGGATAGTCCACAAGTGGAAATTTATCTTCCCCTAAAAAAATACTTCTGGGCAGGTAAGGATCACTCGAGTCTGGTGCAACGCGCTCGAGCTTTTCACGGTACCGGCATTTGCTGGAGTCATCTAACTCGTCATACACTTTTGAAAACTTGGGAGAAGTCATGGCCACTGATTCAGCGTTCGTACAATAGTCCTTTGTAAAGAACAGAAGAGGAACGTAACAGCGATACAGGAAATTTCCTTCGTGAAATTATTCCAGGCACATGTACTTCTTTTGAACTTTTCATCTCTTTTGCCACCCCTGCGGAGCGCGGCCGCTTTGGCCGCCTACACGCCGCCTGCACGTGATCCTTTCGCATAACCTCTATAGGTCCTCTTCAGAATTGGATCGTGCTAAAATTGGTGCGAGATGCTCGAGCCGAAAATAAGGTGTGAAAAGTCTGTCTGTCTGTTTGTCTGCCTGTGTGTGTGTGTCCGATTGCAGGCGTACTCCATTTACGACAAGGAAGTCGGCTACTGTCAGGGACTGTCATTTCTCATCGCAGCCCTTGTCCTACATGTAAGTACCTGCTACAACATTTATATGCATGCCTTGATAGGTTGATCTACTCACCTTCCACCGCTTTAGGAGCTGCAGCTGCGCCTCGATCCTTGAAGGGTGGTGGCGTTCCTACGGATGCGGAAAACTCGGCCTCTGGCCGAGTCTGACGCGAACCGTGGATTTTTTTGATAGGTTAACGTGTATGAAGATGACAGCATGTTACAAGACTGCGGAGGACATGCGCTGTCGAGAACAGTGCTCCTGTTCTCAACACAGTGTGTGTCTTCCGCAGTCTTACCTGCTGTGCATCGTCAAACACGTACGTACATGCACACATGCAGGGCGGGCAGGTTGCACTGTTTCACCGCTGTATGGCAGTGCTGTCGTGTGTTCTGCCTTCATTTACTGCCTCCAGAAAGAAACACTACGTGATTCTTTTATTCACATTACCAGGAGTTTTTTGTGCTCAAGAAATTAGGTTCAGTGGAACAAAACAGTTCAAAAATAATGAGTTGATGTACTTGTTGTATTTTGGTCTCTGCATATGGATTGCTTTATGGATCACAGTTGTGATCAGAGAGCGTAGAAAATGTCTTTCTCCGTCACTTATTTTCTTCTCTCTCTCTCTCTCTGTCTCTCACTCTCTCTCTCTCTCTCTCTCTCTCTCTCTCTCTCTCTCTCTCTCTCTCTCTCTCTCTCTCTCTCTCTCTCTCTCTCTCTCTCAGATGCCAATGGAGCAGGCGTTTGGCTGCCTGGTACAGCTCATGTACCAGTACGAAGTGCGTGATCTGTTCCGCAACGAGTTCACCCGGCTCAAGCTCAACCTGTTCCAGTTGCAGAAGCTGCTTGAGGACGCCATGCCCGATCTGGCGCAGCATCTAGCGGCGGAGAGCGTTGAGACGCACATGTTTGCCTCGCAGTGGTTCCTGACGCTCTACTCGTCCAAGTTCCCACTGCACGCCGTCTACCGCATCCTCGACCTGTTCCTCTCCGAAGGGTCGGACGTCATCTTCCAGGTCAGTTCTTGCATGCGTGTTGCTTTCTGCTGGGTACAGCTATTCACATGTTCACCAGGCAAAGCCAGCATTTATCGTACATGAGTCACGTGTCCTGATGACTTCACTAGACAAGGTAGCCAGAACGTTTTCTTGCGACTGTCATGATATCATCAGTGGCTGTCGTCACTCACAGGATTGAACTGAACAAAAACCAAGAGCAACATATTGGTGTATTAACTACCCTCTTCTTTCATTCTGTGTGTTGCTGTTCAAAGGTTGGAATAGCCTTGCTGAAAATCGCCAAAGCAGAGCTTCTAGCATTGGACTTCGAGGGCATCCTCAAGTACTTTCGTGTTCAGCTGCCCAAGAAGTTCTCCACCGAAGAGCAAGCTGCAAGGCTGCTCAGACAGGTTGTGTCCACAAAGGTATGTTGTTGGTTGTGCAGTGTGTGTGGTGTGTGTGTGCGTGCGCGCGTGTGTGTGTGTGCCTCATGTCTTCCCTCCTACAAATTTGCCCTCTCACCTCGCATTCTCCTCACGTCTGCATCCTCGCACGCGCTCGCGCACACACACAGTACACACACACACACACACACACACACACACACACACACACACACACAGCGGCAATCTCTCACTATGCAGTGATCCCAAGTTACCATCTTCTTCGTATGCTGTCTCCACCGTATCTATCATGCTCTGCAGATCTCCCAGCGAAAGTTGAAGAAGTTCTCCAAAGACTACGTTGCACATCTGGAGGCTGAAGCATTGAATTGTGACCCAGTGGAAAGGCTGAAGGTTAGTGTGTGGGTGTATGGTGGTGGTGGTGTGTGTGGGTGTGGGTGGGTGTTTGCTATCGTCGCTTCAGCGATGGGCATAAGTATGAGTGTGTGTGTGTGTGTGTGTGTGTGTGTTTGTGTGCATGCGTGTGTGTGTGTGCGGACTCTGTATAGCTGTCAGGTTGTATGTATGTCTGTGTGCGTGTGTGCACGCCATGTGTTGTGTGGACACGTGTGGATATAGTATTATAACATTTGTGTGTATATGGGTTTGTGTATTTGTGTACACAGCGTCTGACGAGTGAGCAACATAACACCATCCATCGACTGGAACAAGAGAACGATAATCTCGCCACCGAACTGGTCGCCAGCAAAGTGCACCTACGAACGGAAATGGATGAGGTATGCTGTTTTGACAATGAGTTTTCCAAAGATGGTTGCACTTTATGAAAGTCAGCAGGGACCAACGTTGCAGTCACCCGGCGATCTCTCGGCTATCATATTATCGTGATTGGTTTCCGTATGTTTCTACCCGTTCTGCTGTATACAGGCGCTCCACTGTAGCCATTAGTTGCATCATGTTTGACCCGGGCACTGCTTGTGTTGGTAGTTCTGGTGTTGCTGGTGTTGCTGCTGATGCTGGTGATGGTATGGTGATGGTGGTGGTGGTTGTGATGGTGGTGATGCTGGTGATGCTGGTGATGGTGGTGATGGTGATGGTTGTGCTGCTGGTGATGGTGGTGGTTGTGATGGTGGTGATGGTGGTGCTGGTGATGGTGGTGATGGTGGTGATGGTTGTGCTGCTGGTGATGCTTGTGATGGTGTAGATAAAAGGATAGATAAAGGATTACGTATTATTCCTGACCCTTATTGTGCATTTGTGCACAGTCCATATGATATTTGCAATCCATGTTTGCATCTGTGCGTGACTGGTGTTCGTGTGTCTGTGTGTGGGTATGTACTGTGTGCAACAGCTGGAGCGTAAGGTTGATCGTCTGAGCAAGCAGCTTCGCAACAGGGATGATGATGTACAGCGAGTCACCATGGAGAAAGAGCAGACGTGTGAGGAGTTCAGTCAGGTATGGCGTGACTTTGCTGCTACCTGGGGTCATCTCTTTGTCTGTCTCTGTCTCTCTCTTCTCTGTCTCTCTCTTCTCTGTCTCTCTCTTCTCTGTCTCTCTCTCTCTCTCTCCCTCCCTCCCTCTCCTCCCTCTCTCTCTCTCTCTCTCTCTCTCTCTCTCTCTCTCTCTCTCTCTCTCTCTCTCTCTCTCTCTCTCTCTCCCTCTCCCTCTCTCTCCTCTCTCTCCCTCTCTCTTTCCCTCTCTCTCTCTCTCTCTCTCTCTCTCTCTCTCTCTCTCTCTCTCTCTCTCTCTCTCTCTCTCTCTCTCTCTCTCTCTCTTCCAAGGCCTACCTGACATGCTCATCTAAAGTTAATTTGGTACTGTAGCTTGTTATGATGTGTCCCGCCCCGTCAATACCACTAGTCTACAGCGGAGGACTCGCACTGTCTGTTTTAACGGATTCCCCGAAAAGGGTTCAAATAGAACCTCCGCGGCATATGGGCTGACATTGTTATGCATGCCGTAATGCTTTTTTCGTAACTCAAATTGAGTTGCACCACCAGAAGTCGAACCAGGGACCAGAGGTGTTTCCCCACCGAAGTCACATCGGGTGTCGATGAACAGGCAGCCAGAGAACATCCGGACTAGAGAGTCTCCAGCGTTTGTGAGAAAATAACCCAGCCTGGCTGGAAGCAAAGATTTAGGAGCACCAGTGTGTGTTTTCGTGTAACTCTTCATGCACAATGTACCCGTACTATGTGAGTGTACGAACCCGGAAAAAGAACAGGGGCACTGACATTTTGAAAATAGAGAGGTTCCGAACTACGTAAAGTTGAGCAACTTTACGTTAGTGGGCGGGGAAAACCCGTGAATTCGCGAGTTTGCCCTCCACTTACGGAAAGTTGTCTGCGTAGAGTACGTAGATAGGGCTCTGATAACGTAGCTGGTCCGTAAGTGGATTGGGGTACAACTTTATGACTCTCTCCCCAGGTCGAGTCGATCTGGTCGTACACTGCCGCGTTCGGAGTTGCCAAGGGCAGCTACATGATTTGAAAACTCTGTATGGCAGAACACGGATGTGCATGCAGTTTACGTAAGACTTTCCGTAGATCGACTACGTTTTTTACTAACGTAATAATTATTCCGTTATGCGGAACCTCTCTAAGGCCCCGGTCACACATGCACTTTTTTTGGCGGTTCCGCCAAAGCGTAACTTACGCTTCCGCCGTTGCCTCGGCAACGGCGGAGGCGTAAGTTACGCTTTGGCGGAAAGTTTGGATTTCGCTACGCCAAAAAAATGCGAGCGGAGCCTCCGCTTTGGCGGAACCTGCATGGTGATGGCTTTGGAGTTTGGTGTGCTACTTCTGCACTGAGTTCTGGTGTTGTTTGGTTGCCGTTTGGTATTCAGTTTTCATATTGTTCTTCTTTGCCAATGAACTGTACGTTCTGGAGATCTCGCAAGCAATACTGCATCGTTATGAGTGGATAGTTGGTGAGGGAATCCGTCTCCCAACGAGTCATTGGCCCCGATCGCGGACGATCTCCAACTCTCTCCTTCTCTCTCCAAGCAATACGTCCACCAGAGTATGCAACACTAGGACTGCAACCAGGGAGTAGTAGAGTACTCTGCCACACCCTCACTGCAACTGCAGGCATCCACGCAGTCGCTGGGTCGATGATGGATCATGGAGGAGGCAACGACACCCTGCTATAAAACTATTTGAATTTGATATTGATGTAAACTAAACTAATATTCAAATACACCCGTGCTGGGCCGCAATGAATGTGCCCCAAATCCACGAGTGTACTTGACATGAGACATTCAGCAGCCTGTCAGCGATCCACGATAGCTCTACTTGTACAAGCGAAGGTCGCTTCAACTCGGACAAGAAGGAGGCAACGACACCCTGCTATACAACTATTTGAATTTGATATTGATGTAAACCAAACTAGCAATATTCAAATACACCTGTACTGGGCCGCAGTGAATGCGCCCCAAACCCACGAGTGTACTTGACAGGAGACATTCAGCAGCCTGTCAGCGATCCACGATAGCTCTACTTGTACAAGCGAAGGTCGCTTCAACTCGGACACGAACATCTAAAATTTCATAGGACGTGCTGCATTTGCATTCTCTCCGCCAAAGCGGAGCGTTGAGGAGCACAGTAGTCTATATGTATGTGTGACCGCTGCATCGTGTGTTCCGCCAAAGCGGCTGCGGTAGTTCCGCTTTCCGCCTCCGCAAAAGCGGTGCAAGCTTTTCATGTGTGACCGCGGCCTAATATGAACATATTTTAGCTTGAAGCGGAGCCGCTGCCGCCCCCGTCTGTTCTCCAGTACCCGATGCTACTGTGAGCAACGGTGTAGTTATCATGCTTGTAGAGACCGTTCTGTTGTCATGTGTCGTCATGTTTCGTGTTTCCACTGAATGTGTGTGTATGTGTGCGTGTGTGTGTGTATGCGTGTGTGTGTGTGTGTGTGTGTGTGTGTATGCCTGTGTGTGTGTGTGTGTGTGTGTATGCCTGTGTGTGTGTGTCTGTGTCTGTGTGTTCCGTCCCGTGCAGTTCAAAGAGCTCTATCAGCAGTCGCTGCTAGAGTTGAATGAGCTGAGAGAACGCACTAGCAGCGAGAGAGCCGAGCAGTCTATGCTGGCCAGGGAAATGGACGAGAGACACCAGCGAGTGCAGCACGACCTACAGCAAGAGCTGCTAGAGGTCAAGGTATGTACGGTAGTTTTCTCCCCTAGGTCGGGCATGTGGCCCTTGAGGGACAGGGGATGTGTGGCCCGGGGGGGGGGGGGGGGGCACAGGGGATGTGTGGCCCGGGAGGTTGGGACGCAGGGGTGTCCTGTGAGGGGCACAAGGGATATGTAGTCCGTGAGGGTACAGGTGAGGGGGGGGGGGGGGAGGGGTGTAGCCCGTGAGAGGCATGGGGGATGAGTTTCCCGTGATGGTTACAATAGTCAATACAGTGATGTAGTCGTCGGAACTGGTCCAGTTCTGCACTTTGGGTCGGATTTCACTGAGCGCAACTTTGCTTGTAGCTACATGTACCTGTGGCAATAGCCCTACTCCAATCTGCTGTTGCCATTTCACATTAGAGTGCCTAAGCTACATGTTTGGTGGTTTGATGACAAGTTTAGCTTTCTCTGTCTCTCTCTCTTTCTGTCTCTCTCTCTGTCTCTCTCTGTCTGTCTCTCTCTCTGTCTCTCTCTCTCTGTCTCTCTCTCTCTCTCTCTCTCTCTCTCTCTCCTGGGAGATCTCATAACACTCGGTGTGTCTGTCTGTCTGTCTGTCTGTGTCCGTTTCCTATGCGTACAGGCACGCTTGTCCAAGGTGATGTCACGACGCCAGCAAGCCAGCAGCACGCGCAGTCACGGCGAGGTATCCACATCATCCGGTGTCGGCGACTCGGACCAGCGAACGACGTCACAGCTACGACAGCCAATTGCGGAAAACAAGGCGGACAGCTCGGCAGACCCTTCTGCGGCCGCTACAGCTGCTGCTAGTGAGGATGAGTCCGTACCCGTGTCTGGTGATGCCGAGAAGGGCTCTGAGTGGAACAATGGAGAAGAGGCGTTGGAAATCGTCGACGATCTATCTCTGTCGGCGGAGCACCGCTGTCGGGATCTGGAGGTGCAGATGGCGCACTATAAGCTGCAGGTACTGGTGGTCTCTCTACGTGCCTGTTTTTTGGGCCTATCTGCCTGTCGTTATGTGTGTTTGTGTGTGTATGGCCTGTCTGCCTGCCGTTATGTGTGTTTGTGTGTATATGTGTGCTCTATATCTATCTGTCTCTCTCTGTCTGTCTGTCTGTCTGTCTCTGTGTTTCTTTTTGTCTCTATCTCTCTCTCTCTCTCTCTCTCTCTCTCTCTCTCTCTCTCTCTCTCTCTCTCTCTCTCTCTCTCTCTTTCTCTCTCTTTCTCTCTCTCTCTCTCTCTCTCTCTCTCTCTCTCTCTCTCTCTCTCTCTCTCTCTCTCTCTCTCTCTCTCTCTCTCTCTCTCTCTCTCCAGTGTGCGATTGACTACATGCATATCCAATTGTTTTTTAATTGCTGTTATGATGTAGAGCGGTGACAGAAAGACTTGTGGATTGTGGCAAGAGTAGATAAACAAGAGTGTGCAACTCCGCTTCTCTCCTGCGCAATCTGCAGACACCCCGGTCCGCGGCGGAATTTTTTGTTGACGTTACCTTTTTCAGAAAAAAAACGCGCATTTTGCCGCAGAGCAGTGTGAGAGCACCTGCTGGGCACCGACCTTGTAATGTAACGTTCCCAAAGTAATGTGGCCCAATATCTGAGAAAATTGACCTTCCGGGCTGTTTTGGTGAAATTGACTTTTCTATTTTAAATTGATGTCTAGCCTTTATAGAGTATTGTGACTTCGTTTCACGGCCATCAGACCAATATTCACCATGTAGAAATGCGTTCTACAGGCAGGAGTCATGTTAATGAATTGTTCTTTTTTTACAATTTTGAAAGATCAGTGTGTTTGCAGCCACCAAAAATTGTTTCCACGTGATATCAATAGCCAACTAATAAAGTAAAGTGTTTTGACTGTTCAGGTACTTCATTTCCAACATTCCGTGACTTTATTGAGGTTGTGTAGTTGCAACAGCAGCAATATCAGCATTAGAAGGAGAGGTGATTTATCTGTTCTCCTGGTGATGGACGTGCTTTACAGGATAGTCTGCAGCAGATTTTGACGGAACACCATGATACATGTAACAGCATTCACATACTTATTGTGAAGGAGTCAAACAGAGCAAATGCGTCCAGATTCGCCTTGTTGCACTTTGTGGAGACTGATCATTTCCAAACATCACGGTAACACAGCCTGACAAGCGTTTCACACCACCAACTCAAAAGTAACAGAATATTACTCGAGATTGCCCAGCCTCATGTGCTCCGTGTTGGTGTGATTCGCCATTATTAGCTCGAGTATCGAGCTTGCCATCCCAACATTTTAGGATCATCGTCGCAAAGAAAACTCGCATCATTTCGTGCTGTTTTAGCAGGTCTGGCGTGACACTCAGGAAACAGTTCTGCCACTCGCGCAAGGGCGCCCAGCGACCTTGCAAGCGGCGTACCCTCATGAATCCACCTGGTTGTCCTTGCCTGGAGCTGTAGCAGCTATCGCTGAGGCAGACTGTGGTTGGCCTTGATCATACTCATCCAGGCCAAGTCCTCATCATCGTCGCCCCCGACAGGTAAGTACCGCGTGTCACTTGCGATCGATTCGCCTGACATGCGCTCTCAGAACTAGAAGCGCTGTCGCTGCTTGACAGGATATCCACAAAGAACGATGCATCACCGTCCATGGGATCGCGGCTGCTGTGCTCCGTGAGCCCAATAACCAGCTGACACAAGAATCGCCTTCAATTTTCTTCCGCCATTGTCGTCTTTGCACTTTGCTTTGACGGAATCGATTTTTTTGCGAACAAATTTGTTTTTAGTGTTTTCTCAAAAAAACCGCGTAGCCCCGAAGGTCGAAAGTCTCAGATATCGGGCCATGTAACGTTCGTCGTAGAATAGATTACGTCAACGAAAAATTCCGCCGTGGGCCACCCCATCCGCGAGTTGCACACTCTTGTTTATCGACTCTTGATTGTGGCCATTGGTTTGCTGCGTTGCGGACTGTACACATCTGCCAAGTGAGATCTCGGCCTTATACACTTGCAGCACCAAAGTCTAGTACATGTACTATCCCCGACCTCGTCCTCGTACACACGGTAACCAACGGTAACCAATATAATCTGCGCGACCTTGCATCGTACACTTGCCTGCAGTAGTCAATATTGAATTGATAATCAATATCTGCTCGCAACACTGCTAGTGTGTAGCGATGTGGATTTCACTCGCATGTTGCCACTGCGTGTGTACACTGTTTTCAGAGTGGCGATATGAACCTTAGTAACTGCTAATCTGCGAGCAAAACTTGCATTGGTAGCTACCAGTAAGTGAAGCACTGCGAGTGAGAGTGAAACCTTGTTGCTCAGTACCCGACCGGGTATCCAGCCAATGTACCTACATATACTTGGTACAGCCATGTGATACATATATCACGTTTCTCCTAGCAGCGAGTAGATCTGATAGTACCCGGTTGACCGTCGTGCGTGTGTGCGTGTTTTTTCGTGTGTGCATGTGTGTGTGTACATGTACGTGTATCCGTGTGTGTGCATGATCATCTGTCCGTCTATCTCTGTCTAACTCATGCGCCGCACTGCCCGTGTCCAGCTTGTGGAGGCTGAGTGCAAAATCCAAGACTTGCAGCATGCGCTGCGAACGTCCACACCCGACCAGGAACAAGAGTCCACCGTCAACCGCTGGTTGTCCAAGCTCAGATAACAGCAGGACGTCATGAGCACCTCGGCTTATCTTCTGCCTTGAGCGGCATGTTGTTGTTCGTCCACTCCAGTGTGTTTGTGCAGCTGGTAAAGTCACGGCAATTCCCCGCTGCTAACAGGATTGTTTGGTGCCAGGTTATCAGTTTCTCCGTGTCGAGACCCTCGACGACCAGCACAACTGTGTCCAAGCACTGTCACTTCAAGTTTCGTCACGGCTCTCTCTCTCTCTCTCTCACAAACACACACACACACACACATACATACATACATACATACATACTACTACTACTACTACTACTACTACTACTACTACTACTACTACTACTACTACTACTACTACTACTACTACTACTACTACTACTACTACTACTACTATTGACAGCTGCCAGAGATGGCCACGCCGCTCCCCAAAGGGAGGTACTGTCAGAGAGGTTAGGGGGGAGGAAGGCAATGCTCCAAGTGGCGTTCCAGATCTTGCACACATACACACACACACACACACTTTCTCTCTCTCACTCACTCTCTCACTCACTCTCACTCTCTCTCTCTCACTCTCTCTCTCTCTCTCTCTCTCTCGCTCTCTCGCTCTCGCTCTCTCTCGCTCTCGCTCTCTCTCTCTCTCTCTCTCTCTCTCTCTCTCTCTCTCTCTCTCTCTCTCTCTCTCGCTCCCGCTCTGTTTTCTCGGCGTGCTGTTTTCATATTACGAGTGCTGTCCCCTGCGGTGATGCTCAACTGCGTGTGTCCTGTTTGACCTTCACGACTCGCCGTCAGGCAAGTTAAATCCCTTCGCAGCAATGTCACACTCGTCTGCGTGCGTACATTGACAAATGCCATGTCACACTCGTCTGCATGCGTACATTGACAAATGCCTATCATTCTCCAATAGCACTTGCGGGCCACATAGCGTGGTGGCCGGATGCGCCTTTCCTGGTGGGGTCGTATCCACCTGTATACCTGTACGCACGGTGGATTGCTATGCAGTGGAGCATGCTACCTCTACACACTGTGGATTGCTGCTATGCAGTGGAGCATGCCACCTCTACACACTGTGGATTGCTGTTGATTACCACCTGTATGTACTGTGTAGTTCTTTCCAATGCCCCCCCCCCCTCCCTCCCTCCCTCCCGCGGCTTGCGTGCTTTCGACTGCTGCGCACAGCGCTAGACATGCCTGCCCAATGGCTTTATATACGTTGTATGTACACTGTAGCTTTTAGCTTCTAATACTCTGCTGCAGGCGGCTGGCTAATCGATACCAAAGTCAGCCTGGCTGTCCGATAACTACTTGATTTCGTAATTTCATTCTTTTTTACGCACGTGGACCTGCTTGCCCGTACCAGCATTGTCAACATAGCGATGTTCACTGTGACATACTCGTTGTCATAGTGATGTTCGCTTTGCCAGCACCATTGCCATAGCGATGTGCACTGTGACATCATCATTGTCATGGTGATGGTCACTGTGACATCATCGTTGCCATAGCGATGTGCATTGTGACATACATGTACTCATTGTCATAGTGATGTTCACTGTGCAAGCACCATTGCCATAGCGATGTTCACTGTGACATCATTGTCATAGCGATGGTCAGTGTGACATCATCATTGTCATGGCGATGGTCACTGTGACATCATCGTTGCCATAGCGATGTGCACTGTGACATCATTGTCACGGCGATGTTCAAACCTACCTCCCCAACGACTACTACTGCTCCCGGTTTCACTGTGGAAGTGATTTGAATGAATGAACAGCTTTTGATCTAGACCCGTGGTTAGGTCTGACGGGTTTTTTCTTCTTTTTAGTCACTGCTTTGCCTATTACCCTAACACTGCGCCCACGAAAGGTGGGACTGTGGCGGGGTATTTTTTTCTTCTTTTACCGACACCGACTAGCTAGTCAACTTTGTTGACGGGTGAATTAATTACTCACGTCTTTGGCTCCTACGCCCGTGTGCACGCGTGTGTGTGGTGTGTGTGCGTGCGTGTGTGGTGTGTGTGCGTGTGTGTGTGTGTGTGTGTGTGTGTGTGTGTGTGTGTCTTCCAGTGGAAGACAGTTTGAATTTTTTGAGCTCCTGTTTCTGAATCTCCAAAGAGTTTATACCAGCCCTAGGGCGGCCCAAAGGCCGCCCTAGGAAGTTTCCCTAGTCCCCTACGTCGAGGTATAACAGTGTGGGCTTCAGGACGTGCGTTTGATGCCGTCACTCCACACTGTTCTCGTCGTAGAAGCCGCCGTCAGTTCTTGCCAAACGACGAACGGGAAAAATGTTGGCACGTAGAAACCGGAGAGGAGGAGAGAGGAAGTTGAGCATTGTGTCCTGGAATGTCCGCTCCTTGGTGGAGAGCGACGGCCCTGTCGAGACTGGAGCTGTTTCCCATCGTGTTGTGGAGGACAAGAAAATTCAAATTTGTCAACAGCAATTATTACGTTTGAGAGTTGATGTCGCTGGCCTACAGGAGACTCACTGGTTTGGCGAGGGTGTATATCCAGTCGAGGGAGCTGTTGTGCTGGCCTCAGGACGACCAGTCCCTCGCGATGACAATAATACTGGCGAAATTTCTTTCCGTCGTGGCGAAGGTGTTTGTATTGTTTTGAACGGCGACGCGATCGAAGCGTGGCGTGCTGGCGGCTGTCAATGGACAGCCCACGGATCACGTTTGGTGTCAGCTCGACTACTATTTACTCTCCGGGACGGTGACAGCGTCTGGGTGACAGTGATGAGTGCGTATGCTCCAACTTTCAGTAGCTCGAAGACCCTGAAGGAGTCCTTCTATGGCGCCCTTCAACAAGCTATCACTGGCGTCCCAGCAACTGAACAGTACATCCTACTGGGAGATTTCAACGCGCGTGTGGGTACACGTTTACATGCTGACGATGACTGGAGTTACGTGCGTGGCCCGTTTGGACATGGAGTGGCAAATTCTTCTGGACAGGAGCTGATGAGTTTCTTGCTCACAAATGAGGCAATGATTTGTAATACTTGGTTCCAGAAAGAATACGACACACGATGGACTTGGCAACACCCCCGCACCAAAACACAGCATTGCATTGACTACGTCATTATTCCAAGAAATCACTGGCGACGATGTTTGGACTCACAGGTTATACACAGTGCTGAGTGTGGTACGGACCACGCAATGGTCGCCATGCGCTACCGGATCGGTTTTATTCAAAGGCACCGTAGACCAACTAAACATGGAGTGCCGAGGTTTGATGTCTCCAAGTTCCGTGATACACTGGCTCGGGGAAGAAACGTAGACTGCGAGTTGATCCGGGAATATCAGACCAAGACGGAGACAGTATTGAATGGGAAGTTATCATCACCCATCACCACTACTGGGGAGCATTGGCATGTTCTCCGTGACACGCTTACTGAAGCGGCAGGGGATGTCCTCGGCCGTAGCAAACGCAGGCAACCAGACTGGTACGTGGACAGCCGGGAAATCATCCAGCCTCTACTTGCCAGACGGAACGAGTTGTACTCCCGATGGATCAAGACTGGCCAGTCCAACAATCCAGTACTGGTAGAATTCCGGAGGGCTCGAGGAGAGGCCCGCGCCGCTGTGCGAAGGGCGAAAAATGACTGGTTCGTGGCCAAGGCAGCGGAGTTGGAACAGTCACGTTTCAGCTCAGCCCACGTATGGTCTTGTATTCACGATATGCAGGCCGCACGGCAAGGCTTGCGCAGTAAGGCAACTGTGCCTATACGTGATCTGAACAACAACATATGCAAGTCTCGAGCAGAGCAGGGTACGCAGTGGCGACGGCACTTTGCCAACATACTTAATGTCGCGTCCGTGTTTGACCCAGAGGAGATTGATCAGCTAGAGGCCAGGGATCCAGTCCCAGAGCTCGATGACCTGCCAACTGCTGAGGAGCTACAGCGAGCTATAAGCAAACTACGCAATGGAAAGGCGGCCGGTGAGTCAGGCATCCTACCGGAGATGATCAAGTACAGTGGCCAGAGGTTCAGTGAGTCTCTGTTGGAACTCCTCCATCGCGTCTGGAATGATGGCACAGTACCGCAGGAATGGGTCGACTGTAATCTTATACCCATTCCCAAGAAAGGCGACCTGAGTCGCTGCGATAATTGGCGAGGCATTTCCCTCTTGGATGTTGCCGGTAAAGTACTTGCCCGCATTGTGCAGACTCGCCTGCAATCTATGGCTGAGTCCTTCTTACCAGACACTCAGTGTGGTTTTCGACGAGGGCGATCCTGTACGGATATGATATTTGTGGTCCGCCAGATGGTGGAGAAGGCATTTGAACATCGAGGGAAAGCTTTCCTCCTGTTCATCGACCTCCGCAAGGCTTATGACTCTGTCAGTCGGGATTGCCTGTGGCGCGTACTGGAGAAAGCTGGTGTTCCTCCCCGTCTCCTATCCATTGTTCAGTCCTTCCACACCTCTATGCAGGCTACAATTTGCGTTGATGGTGATAGACTCGATCCATTTGCTGTGAGGAATGGCCTCCGTCAAGGTTGCTCCATGGCTCCCACATTATTTAACATCTTCATGTGGGCAGTCTTCCAACGGTGGTATGCCCGCGTCGCAGATATCCCCGGAGCTGGTGTTCCGATTCATACTAGTGCAAGGCAACGTCTGTTCTTCCGACGACACCGCACAGACACTAGACGTTCCATCCTTGACTGCCAATTTGCAGATGACTCTGCCCTGATGGCCACGCGTCGGGAGGCAATAGAGACTTGCCTAACGGCATTTGTTGAGGTGGCAGGTGCATTCGGTCTCAAAGTTAACCTAGAGAAAACCAAGCTCATGGTCACCGGTCATCATGTTACTGAAGAGGATGTGCGCCCGCTGATGTTGAATGGCCATGCGGTGGAGGTGGTCTCTGAGTTTCGCTACCTCGGAACTAATATCCACGCTGATGGCCGCTGCTCCCGGGATATCGGGTCCAGGATAGCTGCTGCATCACGTGCCTTTGGCGTTCTGAGTCGCCCAGTGTTTCGGGATAACAATCTAACGCTGGCCACCAAGCGAACAGTGTTTGAGGCGTGTGTGCTGAGCTTGCTGCTGTATGCGTCTGAGTGCTGGGTACCACTCCAAGCCGATATTGCCAAGCTGTCATCTTTTTACATGAGATGCCTCCGCACCATCATGGGTGTGTCACGCTCTGACGTCTGGGACTTCCACATCAGCAACACCACCATCCTGGAGCAGTGGAATGATGCCAGACCCCTGCCCATCAAGGACCGGATTGTGCAACGCCGTTTGGAATGGTTTGGCCACGTTATGCGCATGGGTATGGAACGGACACCCCGGGTTGTTCTGTTCGGCTGCCGACCGGAGACCCGACCTGCATGCGGCCCACGAAAGCGCTGGCGAGACGCTCTGAGTCCGGATCTACAGCGATGTGACGTACAGGACTCTTGGCCAGAAGATACCCAGTCACGACCAGGGTGGAGGAACATCTACCGTGAGCTGGAACCAGCTTCGTCACCAGTGCGTAATGTGCAATGTCTTGTCTGCCGACGCGTATTTAGCAGGCCTTCGGACAAGCGCCGTCACAAGTGCTTGGATGAAAGGGCCAAGCCCATAGCAGAGCAGCGCGGTGCAGTGCAATGTCCCCAATGTCAACGGTGGCTACGCAGCCGTGGTGGGCTATCGCGGCATAAATGCACACCCCATGATCCTCAGCCCCGTGAAGACCATCCCCAAGCTATTGCAAGGGACTGTTGCGCAGCTCACTGCCCCACATGTGACCGCTGTTTCGCCAGACCGTCTGACAGATCACGACACAAATGCCACCGTAGTACGCATCGCCCGACTGCAGCAACACGATTGACATTTGAATGGTCCTGCCCCGGCTGTGGCCGCCGTTTTCGCCGCGGGAGCGACCTCACCCGACACAGATGCCAGCGGCCTCCCTCCTCCCCGGTTCTCTCTTAAGGAGAGCCACGTGGCCCTTGTGGCAGTGCTGAACAGGAACAGGAACAGGAACAGGTGTGTGTGTGTGTGTGCATGCTCTTTGATTACTCTCAATTATTTTTCTATTTTATTTTTGAACCTGTATCTTTCTTTATTACTTCTTGCGATCTATCAGTCGTCATCAATATTATTAGTTTCTTGCTTTCCTCACATTAACTTCTTGGCAGAACAACTGGACTTGTTATCCTTGTGTTGGCAGTGTGTGGTGTGTGGGCGCATTGCGGCATTCCCTCTCTCTCTCTCTCTCTCTCTCTCTCTCTCTCTCTCTCTCTCTCTCTCTCTCCCCACACACACACACACCCACACCCACAAATTAGTATTCGGTACACCTCCCGCTGCCCGGCCTAGCTTGTATGCCTCGGCAGAAGGGCAGGCGATCTCGAGGTGCCCCTAGCCCTGCTAGCCACTACCATTGCCTGTGCCAGGTGTACGTACATGTAGATCTACATAACCCCTGCTAGCTACTACCATTGCCAGTACCAAGTGTGTACATGTATATCTACATAACCCCTGCTGGGGGTTATCTACATGTTTTGCTGCTACCTATGCCAGCCAGATAATTCCAATAGGCGTGGTCTATGCGCCCACCGCCATTGCATGCCGGAGAGCAAGTTTTGAACTTTTGATCATTGATGGTGGATTCCCTCCCCCCTTGGCGGTTGATGTAGAATGAGTAAGATCCTTTAGAATATGTAAAAAGGCGACGTGGAGACAATAATCTTACTAATGCAATGAATATAACTAAAAGAATCATGTTCAATGATTGTTGGTTAAAATTGGCATAATACTTGCTACTGTACTACATGATTGTACCCACTGCAGCACCGGGGTAAAATGTGCGCTGGTACATGTGCATGATTTTATATAACCCAATGCTAGTTCAAAACTAGTACTGTATAAGCAGAAAATTTTGTCGGTCAATATTTTCGTCCAACTCCAAAGAAAGGGAGTTCGTCCGGTTGTAAATTTCGTCCATGGATCATAAGAGTGTGTTGAAAAGCTGGACAAATTAAAATTAGTCCAGCATTTAATTTAGTCCAACAGCTCGTTGGACGAAAAAGACGAAATTAAATTCCAGACGAATATTTCTGCTTGTACAGTATTAGATAATAAGCCTTGTTATCATCAAGTTCTAACAATAATGCATGATTGTACAAGCAACATTACAGTGTATCTCACGGTGACTTCATGTGCACCAACTAACGACATGGCGTCCTTTCATGCGGTTTACCGCACGGATTTATGAAGTCGGACATATTCCGATTTATTTGCATCAATCGCACAAAATTAGGTACATTTCTCTTGTAAACCCTGTCAGTTTGAGAATTTAGACAAACACCGAACAAATTTTAGCCGCGACGAGGATCGGGAGAAATCCATCATAATTATTTTTACATAGCTACTACCATCACGTCGACCGAGCGAAGATCGAAATGATAATGGAGTGGAGAGAAGAAGACCTGAACTAGAGTGCTTGAGAGACTATGTAGTGTCACATGAGAATTGCTTCGTTAGGAAGGCTCTCCTTTTGAATGGAGAAGCCCAACGTCGCTGATCTGCATCGCCGTTTTCAAGTGCTGATCTGCAGTAGGAATGTTTTTGTAAATTATTCGTAGTTGTGGACGTGGATGGATTCAGCGCTCTGTTCTCTCAGCAAGCCTACTCAGTCCAACACGAAGGACTTCCATGAGCGAAACAACGTGCTCCTCGAGCAAGTGCAGCTCGGGGTAATATGGCCAATGCCACGGGAGACCACCTCGTGCCTGCATAAGGCCAAGAATTGATGGCAAGAAATCTTTGATGAGCGCCTTCGACTTCAAGGACGCAATATTATCTCCTCAGCAGTAACTGCAGCGCTCTTGCTGAAAATATCACTGCCAGCAGGCACTAGGCATGATTTAGTGAAGAGCTACTTGTACTAGCGGTTGGAGATTCGGTGTTGGCATATCTGCTCCATCATGGTAACTGGTGCGTTTGTCAAGGCAGTGCAGTTTCTGCTGCTGTTTCACAAGCCATATGCGCATATGCGCAGTGAGTAGGAATTTGTTGTATGATAGCTGAGGATCACCAGCCTTCATGGACAAACCTATGTTGGGACTGGTTGCTGAACAGTGCACACCTAAATCTCTCAGCAAGCTCTCTTGCTCAGCTGGTGACGAACACTATATACCCGCTGCTTTGGGCTTGCAGCCCCGTCTCCCGACCGTAGACCGATCGAAAGGCTGTCACGGTCCTGTGACCATCGGCGTACAGTTGACACTGATGGGGCATCGGATAAAGTGCTGGCGTCAGTAATTCTCTTGTATACCTGGAATCTACATCTACAGCTGGTTTCGACTTCCAGCCATCCTCCGTTAGTTATGCTTGTGACTATCATGCCAGCAAGTCGATCAGCAGCATCACCTCGCATCTTTGATGGTGAGGCCTGCAAAACGTCACCGACCAGTGACGATGCTCAAATAGGGCACCCTACCAGAGCTGGCGCAGTGTATGGTGCAGTCTTTCATGAATCCATAAACTATGCTGTTCGGCTGCTGTAGCTCTGACGCTTGCGTGTGTGCCTTACATTAAGGGCAGCGGGCCGTCTGCTCTAGCCATTTGCCAATGCATGCACGGCTGAACGTCTACCAGCAAGCTGCAAACACTTCTCTCTCTACCTGTGACATAGTGGACATTGTGCGTGTGTTATTGCATTCCTATATGAACTGTTCTGGATGCAGAGATTTACCCACTAAGCCCTAGAGAAATATGAATAAATACTATACTACTATTACTAAACTTGGTATGCGGGTGTGACGTGCTGCTGCTCATCAGATTCGGTCCATGCGACGCTCGTGTTTTTAGTTTTGTTATTTTGTCTTCCTTTTTTGAATTCGTAAACCAAACAGACTAAACTATCCAGTGATCAGGTACTGGTGTGGTGGGGCAAGGTTTTGTTGGTGATGCTGCTGTCAGTGGTGGCGGCGTGCATGTGCTCGTGCTTGCGGGCGATGGCCCGCGTTTTCTCCCATGCCGCAAGTTTGTCTTGCGTTTGTGTTTTGCATTTGGACTTCCTGCCAGGCTTGGAAGACTTGCATTTCAAACAGTTTGTCCCACTGTGTGGCTCCCAGTCTTTGAACGGTGTACATCCACCTCTGGAGCTCCAGAGAATGTTGGGCCCCTGGCAGTAGCAGTGCATTCCATGGCCAATTTGCAAGTGTGGCAAAAAAGTTCAGGGTGTACATGTATTAATTTTGGTTTCATCCACATTGAGATGAAACACTGCCAAAATGGATTGAGTATGATCTGCCACACGATACTTCGTCCGTCCACTCCTTGACGCGAATTTCTCCCCTCCAATACGACAACACGACGACAGGAAGCTAACATGAGCCTCCATTTCTGAACAAAATAACGTCTCTAACATGGCCACGAAAAGCTACAGTTATGCACGTCAAGCTTAGGAATACACGAAATCGAAAGGCTAGGACATCGAGGTATACTAGAAAATTGTCTGCGAGGCGGAGAAAATTCGCTGACGAGGTTGGTGAGCCCTTGAAATCGAGCGACGATCCAAAAATAATTGCACCCACGTCGAGAAAGAAACCATGCGTAGCGCGTGGGTAACCCAAAAAGATCGCTCGAGCGGCGGCACAGTCGAAGGCAAGGCCAGTCCAAGCTCTAAACTCTATCGAATGACCTGGCAAACACCCGTGGTTTCGGTTGACCTTGCCCGTTTGAGATGGAAGTCGAGCGAAATTGCAAACATACAACTAGGCCAGGTCGCGTAAAAAATGAAAAATATTAAAATTTGGCCGCCATATTTGAGCCAGCACAAGCGAAAAGGGACCTTATCCGTTTTTTGGGCATTTTGAGTTAGCAACGGATTCTTGTAGCCAGAGAACGTATGAATCAGATAAAAAAAACCGAATGAAAATCCATCAACATATAGCAAAGTTACGGACGTTTAAATCAACACTGTTTTCACCAAAACATCGCACATATTCACGAATAATCTTTGAAATGCGTAAATTGCAATAATTTGGCAATAGAAGCCTTACAGAAGCCTTCGAGTCACCAGCAGAAGGGCTGGAGGATACAGTATACACACACTACTGGGCAGTTGGCATAAGTTTCACTGTGATGGAATTTATAGTGCCAAGCGTGACGTCTGATGGGCCATCACGTCCTTCCGTACCACGCAGGCACGCCGCATTTTAGATCTAACAACAAGAATAATAGAATGTTCTGAGGCATGTAGCTTTGACACAGCACCAGACTCTAGCAATTATCAGGCTCAAAACGTGTGTTGCACTACGCAAGTTTGTCATTCCTCCGGCACAGGCGGACACAGCTCATCCTTGTAAGGGTCTGCCACAAACGGCCGGATATCCTTGAACAGGTACTTCTGGCGTTCTTGTGACAGACCTGCTGGGGGGCAACACTTGGGGAAGGCCTGCTGCTCTCACCTGCTCAGGTGTGGTCTTCAACAGCTGAACATGGTCAGTCAGCTGATGCATGCAGTCGTCTTCTGCTCCTCACTCCCAGTCGCCATCACGTTGCGCCGCAAGTCCTCGCACACCGGGCAAACATCCATGCGAGCCGTCATGAACTTAATATGCGGCAATGTCTGGTGCCAGATGGAGCGGAACGTCGACAAGGATACAGACTTCTTACCCTCCTTATGGCAGCAGTCGCAGAAGTCTGCATGCACGGACTTGTACGTTTGTGACGCTGGAAGGAAGATAGGTGGCGTGTCGTCTCTGCCACGGAGTGGCGCAGGATGTGGAATTCCAAACACTTCCGCGTGCCGAGTGATGTACTCCACGCAGTACTTCACAACATCAAACTCCAGGACATTGTGTGGCCGTTTGCCTGTGTTGCCGTGCACTAGTGGCACAAGCCCATTCTTCTCCAGGTGGCTTCTGTACCGTTTCAGCCTCTTGCTAGACAGTGCATACACGTGACGGAACGCACCCCCACAAACAGTCCGTCCTTGGAATTTGTAGGTAAAACGCTCCCTCTTGCGCTTCTCTCCACTCTCAAAAACTTTTTCAGGATTACTTAAAGCTTCAGGAAGGCCCAGGACCACCAGCTCACTCTCGTGCGACTCCATTTCTCTCATGTTCAGGATCGACGTCTCGATGTCAGCTGGGTCAAATTGCTGCAAGCAATTTTTTGAACATCCGCAGTTCTCTTTTTGAC